GCCAACATTCCATCAATGCTACATTATGTATACAAAAGGATTTTTTTCACTTCACAAAAACCGTAAATGGGTTTTTTTTTAATTTTTTTTTTTTTTTTTTAGTATGACGTGATCATATGTTATTGATACGTGCAAGTTTGGTGATGCAAGTTAAACTAGTTTTGGATTTTTTACATGTGCCGTACGCATAATATATGTAAATATTTCGTTTGAATGTTTATACCTATACCGCGACTACACGCATCGCGCGATAAAGGTATTGAGCGGCTTCCGCTGTACGAGTGCATAGTTTCCTGTTTTTGAGTATATAATATATTGAGCCAGTAATAATTGTGTTGGCGGTCATTATTGTAGGACTCGTGTGACATAATTTATGAGTCATTATAAGGTACGAACCAAATAAGTATAATAATTACGATTGTTAACACTTGTAGACAAATTAAATTTCATACATATTTATAATCTAAATATTGAATTAATGTAGCCATGCAGGCATATATATTCATATGTAGGTATAATTATATCTAATTAATATTAACGCACTCGCGCACCAATCGACATTATCCCATTTGAAAATGAATAGTTTTCAAGTCTTGGAGCCACGCCTATGGAGTTTTGTTGAATTTCATCACGTTCAAAAGAAATCATAATATAGGTACCTAACTACGATTATGTGATTGAACTAGAATCTAACAAGAGAACGAAGGAATGTTTATTATTCCGAATATACAATGATATCTATTCTGAAATATTGTATAGTTTGAACACATATCAATCATCTATCAGTAATATAACTATATGGAATAATATATGTATTCAATAACTATTCACAGATATAAAATATTATGCTTTCAATGATTTCCAATCATTTATATTGCATTGCACATTTTGCTAAATAGCAATAGCTGATTCTAGGACATTATTCAATAATTATATTCAATGATATCTTAAAATACCCAAGTTAAAAATGTCCAAAATCAAAATTGCAGAACCATAAATGATAAAAAAAAATATTAAGTTATTTTAAAATTAATTATTAATAATTAATAATATTTCATTATAAGTACTTAGAAACATTTTGTATTATATTATATTTTTTACCATATAAAAAATACAATGATAATGGAACTAAATTAAGAACTCCTAAAACCAAAATGACTTAAAGTTATGAGATATAAAAAATACCTACTTAATTTTAACAAATTATAATACTCAATAAAATCATATATACTCCTCTTTACTTATAAATCTCAAATATTACCCTTATTAATGGTTTTTTAATTTAAACAGCAAATAGAACCATACTATATTTTGAGATTATTTTATAAACTTCAAAATCACTGCAATTTTCTTCCTATAAAAATGTACATACTCTATCATTCCTTAAAAATACCAGATAGTGACTCAAAAAAGGTAACGGCGGTAAAGCAGTGATGTTTGATTGAATTTAACTTAATTACTAAGAGGTGCGTTTCTCTAGTATTATAATAAATGATGTATTCAAATTTGATGATTTTTTTTTTTAACATCGACTTATATTACTAATATTATTATATTTTGTAGTTAAAAATTACCGAGGGAAATACCTTTAGTCAAATAAATTTCTTTCAAAAAAATAACTGTCTTACATTGAATCAAACATGAATTCATCCCTATGTAGTGCTGCTAATTATAGATGATTTATGATGGAATTTTTTTTTCGAACATTTTTACTTTGATTCATAATCTATATGAACGAATACTTTTAATAGTATTTAATCGCAACTATTTAGATATATGTACATTAAACTTAATCCTAGCTGCAATTTATATGATAAGATCGATAAGCCAAAGCTACAATCTGAGTAGATGTTCATTGTTTTATTATAGACTATAGTTAATAGTTATTACGATATGCCACAAGGCATTTGATTAATAATATATGCTAATTAACATTATAATATACATTAACCATAAATCTTCTGATCCTCAGGGCATATACGCCATGCAAGTTAGATAAATAAATCAATATGTATAAATGTATATTACAAGTATTACGACCATAGCCTATAAAACGATTGCTTAAACATATTTAAACAATATTTCTGTACTTAGTACTATTTTTTATGTTTATTATAATTCTGGATAGGTACACAATTCTGAGTTCTGAGTTGTGACATATCTACACATACAATTAAAATGAAAAGTAGAACATATATTATAACTTATAATACATATTTTATACAAATATGAGTAAATATATTATGTAAAACAATTTTGTAATGAAATATAAAGAAAACACTACGATTGCGTGTCATTTTAATAGTTTTTTTTACGGAAAGATGATTTTGAATGCAAAACCTTATTGTCAGAATAGGGTATGCCCAATGCATACAAATAGAAATGAAAAGTTACTGATACATTTATAATAACAATCTTTAAACTGTTTTTTTATGATATAAATTTTAAGTGACACGTTAAAACAATTTATTTATATTAAAAAAAAATATGCTGTTTTTTTAATTTTTACTTGGAACAGTAAATATTAATACTCATTACGTACCCGATAAAATAAAATAATGATTTTAATTAAACATCTAATATAATGATCATTTGATTAAAGTTTATTTCTTTTTAATGATTTTGAATACAAGTACACAAATATGATTTATTATTAATGTATTAGTTAAAATAATCGTATATATTTAACCACATAAACTTGAAAATAATAACCTGATAGCTTATACATAAGTATAAACGTGTTTTAGTGTACATACATAGATTTTTCTTCAATTTATATGCTTATTATATAGATCCGTCATGCTACGTGATGTACTGCAGGGTCATTTGAAGAGTATAAATATATTTATTATTTATATATACATAAATTATAACTATTTGTACAGTATGTCTCTATACACACAATATATACAATATTAAATTAATTTATTCTCTTAGAAGAGTAAAATTATTGCTATAGTATAGACTTATAATGAAGTTATTTAATGTTTAAAATAGTAAATACTGTATAATTGAAATTGTATAGATATTTTTGTGTTTTGGAAGTTATTTATCTTGGTACAAATAAATTAAATTTTTTACAAGTGCATTTTTTTATATTTTAGATTATGAAGTGTTGATACAAATCAGGGTTTTAAAAATGCAAAGAATATCAATATAATATACACGGTATAATAAAACAAAATTAAATTATTTAATTTAATAAGTATACATTACACTCTATTGATATATTATACGAGTATGTACAAAAAACCTATTGTGTAAAATTTGTCCCAAATTTTATAAAATACTTAAAATGTAGTACAAACAGCGTTTCTGACACTTTAAGAAATTTTTTAACCACGTATATTAAGATATTTTAACTTTCAATACATATTTGATATCAATTGTGTACACAAAAATTTCTAATAAGATAAGAAGAAATATAAAAAAAATATCTTAATATCCTTATTTATTAAAATAAAATAAAGAGGGATTTAATATCTTAATTTCCCAGCGTGAAACTAATACGTAAAATCTATAAAGATACAATGTAAGTAGTTTGTTTCGTAATTTGAAATGATATTGATCTTGTTCGATGATTGTGTAGATTCATAATAAAGAATGTTAACTAAGTTATTTTTTTGTATGAATTTAAAATAATATATTTTTAAAGGTGCAGGAATGTAAGTATGCATACAATAACTTAGCTATACTTTTTAAAAGAGAATCTGTAGATGTTTATCTTAAATATTTATGATTTTTTTTGTTTTGTGTTCTTTGTGTTTTTAAAATGTATTGTATAGTATACTTACAATATTTATAATATCTGAAGCAGAATATATCACTCGAGTAACAATATACGTATATAATTGTTCAAATATAGGTATAGGTCACACAAATACAATTAATTTATAATAAGATTAATGATTAGGTTATAGTAGATACCTAAAATATTATTTCAACTATACAACATAATGATGCTACAATAAGTTTTTCCTATATAATAATAATTAATAAAGGTCATTGAAAATTTTTTTAAAACATTTAGAATTTTGTTATTTGTATAAAGAAATTAATTAAAATAATAAACAATTGTTGAATACAGTTTTTATATTTTTATGGCAAAAAAGAAAACATCCCTAAAATAGATAAATGTTTAAAACTATGCGGAATTAAAGAAAATTCAAAAACATGTTTTAAAAAAAAATATATATAGTTATTTAGATAATCTATATTGCATCAATTAAACTTAAAATGTAAAATAATGTTAAAATATATCTAAACATAAATGTATTTTTATTGATTACATATTTCGATATAATATTGTTTTCTTGGAATTAGAATAAATTTAATGTTACGTAAACAATTGATCAATACTATAAAATTGAATACATCTATAACAAAACTACGTCTAAGGCATAATAATAACATTCAATATCTATGTGTATTCAATGTATTGGCTTTTATTCGTTGAAATTAGCATATTTTATTACATAGATAATACATATGGACTTAAGTTAATTTAACTATACATAGTAAATTTTAATTTTGAAATTATATGCGTTTTAAAAATTGTAATTAACATTTAATTTTCAGTAAAACAAATTATTATCTAATATAAGCAAGCAATAAGTACCTACTTACATTAAAATATGTACCTATTTTCAATCAAAATGTATACAAATCTTATGTAATATGCATTTGTGTGTACTTACACTTACTATAAGCAAAAAATTCAATTACTTTAGAAAGGATAGAATAAATTGTCAACAATTGGCATTGTACTTAATAGTTTTATTTTTACCGGTTATCTAAGTGCCTACATGAGGTGAATATACACATATTGTATTCAGTATAATATTATGAGTCACGGAATGTTACATTTCTCACAGTAGATACAGATTATACATATTATGACATCATGTCAGTTTGGGTGTTCATAGCTTATACTATAAAACGATTATTCTTATATGCGTGCAAGTCCCTATATAATACACTTAAAAAAAATCATGACTCACGGATACGCAGAATCCGATCAATAGGATCAGATAAACCGAAGTTGGTTTCATGGCGTCAGCGGAGACTTCAACGAACGGCTCTTTTATTTTCGTCCAATATAATTATTATATGGAATAGATTCTCTTCCTCTTTTGTATATCGTTCACAAAATAATATTCTGATCGCAGTATACACGCGTCTTACGAGTGTATAAACGCATTATTTACGTTGCGTTAAACTGGAAAAATCGAATTATATTTGATTAGAAGAAAAAAACACGAGCAATATATCAGGTACGTACTGAACGCGAACGACCGACCACAAACTGACGCAGTGAAATACTGAGGACAACAACGAAAAAACGAAACCAACGCGACACGCAACGCGAGTAGGCGAGTTTGGTTTGGTGCGATGTGGTGAACGGTGTGCGGGGTGAAGTAGAACCTTGGAATGAGTAGTGGTATGGAGGTTGACTGAGCGCATGCGCCACCTTAATGTATAGGTATACCATAAAATAATGATATAATGCTGAGATGTGTGATTGTTATTTACTTTTTATGAAAATTGTTAATTTTTCATATCCATGCATGCGCACAGGCAATTAAATATATTGTGATCTCTCAAATACGAGTAACGAAGAAAAAATCAGAGAAGCTACGATGACTGGTAAATTTAACATATCTAGGTATAAATCATATAATAAGAACTTATACCCAAATATATAGGTACACTCGTGTATAATACGTATCATACAATAATGTTGATTGTCAGGTTTCAATATATTATAATAATAATACCAAAGGTGTTAAATGGGCATAATTCATACATGAAAAAATCTATTTACTATTAATGAAGTATTTTTAAACTCACATGAAAATCTTAAGAATTGTTCGTTGCACATTTAGACTGAAATGAATGATTATTTTACATGAAATAGTTTAGAAAAAAAAGTTAGACTCCATAAACACCATGTTAAAATATAGGTACCTTTACTAAAGTAGACTCTTTCTTAAAATTTTACAAATATCTAACTAACTATTTTTGCTGAAAAATTAATTATGATATGAATATTTATACACGTAAATAATTACAAATAATTGTAAGATAATATGTATGTATAAATATATTAAGTTTATTCTTGAAGTCATGTTCAGTCAACTCATCCGGTCGCTTATGCATAAGTGAAAGTATTTCCTTGAATGGAAATATTTATAAAATGTAAACAAATACTAATGCGAAAGTGCACAGTAATATAGTATAACACATATTTTTTTCAAATACTATATATCTATTGAATAGTACTTTTTATGAATTTTATGATATAATATATAAACATTTTAAAGAACTTCAGTTTATAATTTTTCTTATTCGTGTAACGTATAAACATTAGAAAATACTGATATAAATATTTGAAAAAAATATCTCTGAAAATTGTTCATTTTTTAATTACAAAAAAAGTAAAGATATTGAAAATTATTAGGTACCTATGTTTAAATAACCCTATTAATTCGACATAGTTAATTTAGATTTTCCCAATTATTTTGAAATTACTCACAATTTTTTACTTTTGACTTTTCAAAACAACAATTGAACTCAACTTATTACCAGAAACAATTCTTCTCAAAGTTAAAGGTTGAAGCATTTATATTTTGTTTTTTTTAAAAAAAAAAGAAGCAAATTCCATTTGCAATTTGTTTGCTGTACATTAGGTGTCGAGTGAATTACTATTATGAGCATGTTAAAAATATTTTGAATTCAATGATTTATCATTGTATACAGGAAAAACGATTCTCAGTGGAGACGATCTGTCAATGTTGTGGCTATATAGATTTTCAATATAATTTTTTTGAGAATTTAAAAACTTACGAAAAATCTAGTATTAAATTTTAAAGTAATCGAAATTTCTAGAAAAAAACTTAAATAAAATAAAAAAGTTATTTTGTTTATAAATACCTCAAAAATATTTGAAATATTTTGAAAATTTTATCTGAATTTATTTACGATAATAGAAACATTTTGTGAAAAATCAAAGTATATATGGTTATTCGTTTTTAAGTTACACTAAAAAAAATATAATCGATTTGGCCAACATTTTAATTTTAAAAATTGGATTTGCATATAAAACCCTTGTTTTTCCTTATTTAATTTTTTTGTTTTTTCAATTCACAATTTTTTTTTTCACTTATGATCCTACAAAGTACCAAATAAATTTAATTTACCAAAAACCACTCCTATTTTTTAAAATAGAATCATTTGCATTTTTACCGGCCTAAAAAGTGTGAACAGACACACGCACAAAAAACAATACATCATTGTACAATCAATATATTTATCGCTCTACTCAGAATCTAAAAATTATGAAAAACACAAAAAATAAACACTCACTAATAAATATACTTACTCATTCCTCTGCTAATAGAATCTAAAAATTATATTTTTTATTTTCGTACACATAATAATATATTAATATACCTATAATAAATTATGAATACAAATTTTTAATTAAAAACTAGTTTTATTTATTTTTAATTACAATAATTAACTAAAATATTAGTCACATTTCAAAATTTAACAATTTTCAGTAATTATTTGTTATTCATTATACACTCCACGAAAAAATACCAATAAAATTGAAAAATGGCCAAATTAATTAAATATAAAAACTATAAATTAAACCTGCCTATACATATATAAAATGTTTGGCAATTTACAAAATTTATTTACATTAATTTCATGAATGTTTTTTACTATATTATCACCTACGTCGTGATAATATAGGTATAGACACAAATACTTTTTAATTATGCTTAATAATGCTTATGTAACTATAATTAAAAATCTTATAAAACCAATAAATTCTACACTTACTCGTAGAATCTAAAAACATAAATAAAGTTAATGGGCATAATGATGATTTATTCTGAATTATGAAAATAGGTCATTACAATATTTATATTTTGTGTTTATTTTCATTAAAATATATTGAACGTTTGCCAAACAATTTTTATTAAAGTTCTATTTCATAATTATTTATTCTTGTTAATACATAAATATATACTCCTCATACATATTAAAGTGATTTTATATCAAACTATAGTTATTTAACATGCCATATTGATTATCATTGATATTACTGTAAACTTGACCGTTTTTTTTCAATCATTAAAATGTATGACATTCCAGAGCTTAATACATTTTTTAGTACAGTAGCGTCTTCATAAGAGCCACGATTGATGAACATAAATATTGGTATCCAACAGCCCGGTGATCTAACTATTTTGTATTTCATGAATGATATAGGTATATTTACTTTATTGTTAAGAATAAGTTTTTTATCTTGATTTCTCGCGATTTTTTGTCCCAATTTTCGATAATTTCGTTCATTTTTATTTTGAAATTTTACCACTAAAACAATATATTTTTTTAATGTTATTTTGGATAAATTAAATGTTTTTTAAATATTTATTTTTAATAATTCTCACTACTATCCGTGTGATTATAATTTTGCTTGTCGTAATCTAGACCGTTACTTTTTATTCTGACCCTGCTATTGGTGTTTTGTAAAGATACCAAACTATCCATTTCATTAGTCTTAGAATAATTTGATTCACTTTCAAAATCATTTTTCTTGTATTTTTTTGAGTGCTTTTTGTTTATAACTTTGTTTTTTGATTTCTCTGACTGTTTAAATTGCTTAGACCGATTAGACTGAATAAACTGGTAAGAGTCATCCTCCGTGTATCTTTGTGCATCCTCTAAAATTATAAATATATTATGCAATTATAAATTATAAGTAGTCATAACTCGTGATGTTTTAAGTTAATCTTAGCATACACGTCTAAACTAATTAATTATTTAACTTTTAACAAAAAAAAAATGGTACTCATATATGCTTATTAAATTCTTAAGACTAAAAAGTCGCATATTTTTAAATATTTCTTGGGAGATATCTTAATAAAATATCGAAAACCTAGTACTGTGCCTAAACTTTATTTGTTTAGAATCTTTTTAAGTATTCGAGTACTTTTATTTAAATTATTTTTTTTGATATTTTAAAAACATTTTAAATACTTTTTGACAAATATATTTTTAAATACTTTAGAAATACTTTCTTTTTCCTTTTTTTATTCTAATATACAAAATATATTTATCTTTTCATTTTATCGTTTTAATTTAATGTCAAATATTTTTGTATTATACCATTTTAAATTTTGTTTTTAAAATAATATTTTATAATCATGCTAACAATTTATAAGATACCATCAATTAAGTAAATGAAAGAATAGCTAAAATTTATTTTGTTTTAATTTTAATATGTATTCTGAATATTAATTAACACAATCACATTGATGAATAATTTTTAAAATTTAAGCACTTACCAATACAAAATCTAAATTTATGTTTTTACTTGTAATACTGACAGTAGTGTAAACATCTTTTAATTTTTTTACTGTATATTCATATAGTAATAGTACCAATAATAACTCCAATATCCGAATGGCTATAATTCTTCTTGTCGTAATCTAGATTGTTACTACTACTTCTAATACTAATTATAAAGCTGATTTCTGAAGATACTGAATCGTAGAGTTTACTGTTTCTAGAATAGCTTGAACCAACTTTAAATTGTTTTTTTTTTGTATTTTTTTGAGTGAGTTATGTCATTAACTTTCTTTTGTGACTGTTCGGAGTAATTACTTATGTCGTCTAAAATTATAAGTAATATGGTGAAATTATAATAATTGGTCATTACTTTAAATACATCTTAGTATCTAACTACTTATATTATTAAAATTTTGGAAAAAATTGTTAATGTAATTTTCTATCTTAAATAATATTATTGTTCAAATAACTATTATTATAATAGTTATGTATCTCTATCAGTAATTTTAGTTATATTGATTCAGTATGACTTTTGTATGATGCAAAAGCTATTTTTAATGTGTTTCATAAATTTTTAACTCATATATGACCAAATAATAATAATGATGTTCAATATTATATAATATATATTTTATTAATAAAATTTAAAATATCACAGTTTTGGATTAAAAAGTGCTGGATATACTTTAAATAATTTTTTGAATAGTTATATACACAAATTTAAAAGGAAAATGTTTACTCGGAGCGATCAAATGTGAAAAAAAAATGAAATTGGAAAATCAATAGAAGGTTAAGTATATCTAAAAAACAGAATAGGTTTAAATTATTTTTAATGAATAAAATAATATGTGTTAATTATATCATCTATAGATGTTATTGGGTAGGGGTTGATAATCAGATAGAGATAAAATAGAACAGTGGTATGACAGATGCTTCGGAGATATGTTGTGTGTATTTATTTTTTAATTTGTAACATTTGTAAGAAATATAGATGCGATTATTCTAAAAATTACTCTTACGTTCTCAGTTATTAATGAAAACACTCCTTCGTGTGTATGCGCAATCCTGTTTTAAGAAGATTTTAACATACTTAACATACTGATACATATTTTACAAAAAATGATGTACACAACCTAAACTTTACTGTTTTTAAATTGTTTATAAGTTGTAGTAGTTTACAGCTTCTACTATAATAAATATAAATTACTTAAATATTAATTAATAACCCCAATTTACAGTACCTATAATTTTAATTAATAATTTGTATGTCACCTTAGAAATAAAGTAATTTCGTTAACGAACAATATTTATTTATAATAAAATTTGTTAACTGTAGGACGTAGTTATAACAATATTTGAGTGGTTCAATATTTTAATGATTTTGTTCAGTTATAAATGCTTTAAGAACAATCAATAATAATAATTTATTCAAGTAAATAAAACAGCCATATAATATACATGATGAGAAGAAAAATTTCACAGTAGAAAAAAATCTATTTATTTATTTATTGAAGTTAGTATAACTAAGTCAGAAATAGTCTCACCGTTATTTGCAATTTTATTTCATCTATAGCAATAAAATATTTAGTATACCATAGAAACTAAAACTGATATAATTATAAAATACAATTATTATTATTATTATTATTATTATTATAAATAGTATTATTGATTATTAATAATATGCAAATTTTCATTTAATATTATATAATGATAATCTATTATACATATTGTTATTATAATAATGACCTCCCTTCGTAGTCAATGACTAAAAATGGTGTCATCATCAGAACCTCAGTGTATACATATAATTGTATACACATTCACACAGATTCCTATATTATAATATAAATATATTCATTTGTGACTTATAGTGTTATGTTTTAATATAAATAAAAATATGTTATCCACTCGGACCGTACCCATTGACTATTCGCTAGATCCCTACAACAGCACTCTCCCTGCGTACGCCTCTGACGGTGGTCGTATATATGTAACGAGTGGTAAAAAACGAGTTCATGTGTTTGTACTTTGTATGATTAAGTAATAAAAATATTCTTTTAAGTATTTTCAATGTGTTAAGTGTACCTATATTTAATGAGTATCGAATTATAAATATAGTAATATAAAACCTATTTTCCTAATCATTAGTTCAGCAAACAATTAGTAAGCCTTCAGTTGGATTTAAGTAAGTAAATTTATCATATAATTAAAACCTCATATATACATGTGTATTGTGTATACTCGCATATAGGTATACGAGTAAATAAGAGTGCATACCTATAAGTTGTGTAAACATACTAAAAATACGTAGGTACGCGCTCTATTTCGATAATTACATTATTTATTAATATTATCTTGTATTTTGAGTACCAAATTATAGGTAGGTACCTGAAGATGGATTTTCCGATATTTTTGAAAAATTTGATGACCGCGAATGTGTAATTAATAATAACGATTTTGAAGAGAACGATGATACTGAAGACAGAGAAATGTATTCGTTGTTTTCCAAATGTTCACCTATAAAACCATCAATTAATTAGTAATTTAATTCATATAAATTAATAGCTAAATCATACTATTCACTATAGATTTTCCAGTAGAAATAAAATTTGCAGAAGATATGTTTGATATTTTAACATTTTTATTATTATTTAATTCATTTTGAATCTTAATTATATGTTCCTTGCTCATTTGTAATTTACAATTATTTTCTTTATTATGTTGATTTTTACAACTTTCTGAACAAAGCAAAGCAAAATAACAACTTAAACAAGCTTCCATATCCTTAGATTGATGCTTTAAGCATTCATAACAGACCTGACTTTCTTCCTATAAAATTATTTGCAGAAATAGAAAATATTTTTATATTTTAAATTTAAAATCTACTTTAGTAAGAATAATTGAATTTTGAGTTATTGATTGTAAATGTTGTAAACACAATGTGTATGTTTCATTTTTCATCTTCTCTTTTACATCCTGTATATTTAGTTACATTTTAAATTTAATCTTAAATGTAATATAGAGGTATATATAAATACATACAAATTTATCATTTTTTACAGTTCTAAACTTAGATAACGTATTACTCGGCATATTCACAATTTTCGTTCGATGCGTTAAGATGTTATTACCCAAAGTCAGCCAAACTAACATTGCCATTTTCTCATTAACTGATAATAATTGTGTAGTTAAATGTTTTCTATAATCATTTCTAAAAATTATTATTATTATTTATATTTCACAATATTAAACCAATATGATTTATGTTATATATTATACGATTATGCTACATGACATTTTATATGGCAGAATTATAATATATGCTTAATTCTTCGTTCCTAATATTCCTACGCGATTATTCATAATATGGGCACCAACGTAACTAGAAAGGATTTCATGTTTACAAATACTTGAGTAAGTACTTACATTAGTGCAACAGTAGCTCTTTTCGAATAAATTATATCTAAAATTTCTCTACCAGAATTTCTTAATTTTTTCTTTATTTCAGTGGTATTTAAATAGCGTAATGGGTGTGTTTCTTTGTTCAGCCTAATAAATATTATTTTCAAGTCAACTACAATTATATTTTTAAATAATATGTAGAAATATATAGAATACTTTTCTGATTCCGATAAATTGTAATAATATTCACAAATATTGCCTCTGAATTTAATATCAAAAACCTCAACAATCTTTAATGGATTTGAATTTGCTTTTAACAATAAATCCAACAGCTTATTTAGTTTCGTATTTGATAAGTTGAAGTTATACAATGGATTAAGTAATAATGACAATAGAGTACCAAAACCAGAAATGATTTTGTTTACAACTAATCTATTTTTTTCTAAAAACGTTTTGGTTAAATGTAATTTTCCTGTTAACATAGCCAAAACAATTGGCTCAAAACCACAATAAGTATGATTTTTATCCGTAACGTCATAAAGCATAGATGCTATTTCACTTTCTGATTTCTCATCGACAGTAAATTTTTCATCTAATTCGTGTATATTTTCTTTTAAGCAAAAAATGTCCAAAGGTGTCATAGACGCATAATTTTCATTTGCTTTTTTATTCCATGGTAATTTATATCGAAAAATACTAAACATAGGCTGAAAACATATCGGAATAGTACTATAAACTTTAAAATATCTATAAATTTATTAATATAATGCAATAAGTATTTTATAGTAATTACTAATGCTTTTAAATTTGGATTGACACAATGCGTTATTAAGACTTTAATACACTGAACAACGCTATGGTTTGTGGGAATCATAACAGCCATGTGTAATAAATTTAATTTATAGTTCTACAATAAAAAATTATAGTTATCAAATGAATACATTTTTATAATTCTATCGAATATTCGAGTTCAACTATTAAATACCTACCTCGTTAGATATAGTATAAGCTGGAGATCCTCCAGCTTCGAACACAGCTTTTAAAATGTTTGAATTTATAGTCAATAAGGCTAAATGAATTGACATTTTTGGAACGGCGCAAGTTGTTGCTTTAGCACCCATATTAATCAAAAGTAATATTGTGTTTTCTGCTGTGTCTAATAATATTTGTCTAAAATGTTCATTGACATATGTATTACACATTATGTATTTATGTGCTGTTATATTTATAATGATAAACAATTAAATATACACAATATAGATAATAGATATAGGTATAAATATTGACGCTCGTATATTACAATTTACTTTTTTGTAGCTGTTTGAATTGTTGTTGAATTCACATCTTCGACATCATTATCATTTTCTGTAAACTATTATTCAATTTTATATAATTTATAAAGAACTGCAAGGTTTTCATTTCTGAATTGATCTTATGGATTTATTAAAAAAAAAAAAACCCTAATTTAATCTAATATGATGTACCTTGCAAATTATAAATTATTACATAAATACCTATGTAATATTTTCAACATGGGTAAATTTTTTTTTTTAGCATACCGTGTACCTACCAATTACCAACATTACTGCGTATGCCTATATAGTGTAATATATTATGTATCCGATATCGCATAATATATTCATATATGCATATTTATAAACAGGTAATTGTCATCTTCATTCTATATTTCTACACCTAATAAGATTATAATATTATAGCTGTAGGTACCTATTACAATTGATAAATTAGACATGTATTTATGAACTATTATTTACGATGAGAAATTAGTGGTTTATACATTAAACATCTTAGTTTAAGATTATGCACTAAAATAAAATAAATCATTGCTAATTATTAATTGGTTATACCACTTATACCCTTAATAGCACCGCTGTCCAGAAGTCCCGGAGGTTTATATACAAACAGTAAGGACTTAATTTAGGTACTTCTTATGATCAAGTGTTGTCCTAAATAAAAACCACACAGTATTGGAATCCTCGAGAACTCCGAGTATATACTAAATATACTCGTTATATTAACCAGTTTTGTGCCGCATTGACAGGTTTGAAAGCACGGTATTATAGCATTTACAATTTATTGATTTCTATGATTAGATAGTAGGTATTAGTGATATTATAACAATATAATTTACCTTCATATTTTTTAAGTTTTCTGGATGAAAAAAATTTATTTTCTGTATGTTACTTAATGTAATATTTTGATTTTCTAAAATAAAATATGATCAATATCAATTGTGGCATTATATAATTATATACAAAAACGACTGTATCAATACCTAACTAGGTACTGCAGTAATAATGTACCTAGTACCTACTATATGTTAATGTAGAGAGTAGGGACTTATACGAAATTTTAATTTTCAAATAGGTAACTTATTAATTTTAAGTATTTAAATACTATAAAACGTTATATAGTTATATAAGTACATACCATTGTACCTACTAATTATGTATGTGTAATATTAAATTTAAAATAATTGAAGTATTTACAAGTATTGTTAGTTTTAATTAGATCACGGTAAATTATACAATAATCTACCATGATTAGAACTAAATCAATTGATTAAACTTACCTTTTATAATATTAAATTTTAAATTGACATGAGGTATAAAATATTCAGTCCAATGTTCTATATTATTTAATAAACATATGTATCGCATAATAGTTAGGTTTAAAGGAGTAAATCCATCATCATTGTAGCATTCTAAGTCAGCGCCAAGATTAATTAAGCATTCAATAACCTCATGTTGGTCATTGGCCTTAAAATATAAGCAAGTAAGTAGGTACCTATAAATATCAAAAGAAATATTTAAATTAAAAATATTACAGAAGAAATCATAAGACGAGTATTCCCTCGAGAATCGGCTATATCCAAATCAATATCATAGTTTTGAATAATATGTTGTATGTTTTCAGGGTTTAAATCTAGTTTGGTTAAAAACTTTACAGCTTCTAATTCATGACTACGTGAAGGCATGAACCTATCTCGTCTCCCACTCCAAACATCGTCAATATCGTACAGTAATATCTTCTAAAAGTACATGAAAGGTAAACAGAATTCATTGCCTATTTTACTTTTAATTTATTTTTTATTGTTAACATCTTAAAATAAGCGTTTACTTCACCGAATTGCTGTTGATAAGCATGTGCCAATATCATTTTGTCTAAAGTGTTGTTATTATAAGCCAACATTTTGATAAAATGATGATCGTTACTTATTATTTCGTGAGGATTGTTTTCATTTTTTTTTTCGTTTGATTTTAAATGTTTGGATTGAATATTGTCGTTTGTATTACTAATCATAGACCACGAGTTATTATTCAAAATTTCATATTGTTCGTCAATGCTCATGCTACAGTTCGATAAAAATTCATCATTTGACTGTAATGTTTCTTTGTTATTTTCTATGAACGTAATAAAAAATATACACATTTAGTAACCTAATAAAATATAGCTGGATTATCATCTGTCTCGGTTTTAACTTAAAGCAGAATTCAAAATTATTTACTCCTAAGTGTAGAACAGAATTTGAAAAAAGAAATCCCGTCAGTGCGCTGGAATTATAAAATCATGATGGCAATAGAATTGAATATAGGTGTTATTTAAAATCTTTAAATTTAGTAAAAAAGTGATAAATTAAAAAATTACTTTATCAGTTTAGATAATATTATAGTTAGGTATAGGTACTAGGATTTTATTAAATTTTCATTCTATAATCCTAAAATATTTGAATATTATATAATTTCATGATAAATTTAAAATCACTGAATCAAATGTGATCGATTTAAAAATGTAGTGTTTAGTTTAAGTAGATACCTACCTATTAAAAGAACCCTTATCAGTTATCTCCACATTCCACACGTCTAGTTTCGAGAGACAATCATTTATGTATCAATACTATATTTTTAAAATACGAATATTTGTGTATTATCTACATTTATGTAGGTATACTATTTAATTTTTCAATTAAAAAAATAAATAATAAAATATAACAATAATAATTTAGGTAAAAAACAGTGGTTTTTTAGATTTTATAATTATAATAAATATCTCCTATTGGTCTTAATTTAAATACGTATTTAATTTCTAATTACATAGATATAGCCACCTACTATTCACTAAATAGTTCTTTTGTATCAAATTGACTAAATCATAGCCACATATGAATCGATTATTTTTCTTTATCTGCATATTATTCTCGGATAATACGGTCTTAAAAGTAAATTCTGTACCAAATTGTATGGAATCAAAAAATAAGCTGCTAAAATGTCTGATGTATTCAGGACACGAATAATTAGTATTAAGATATTTTTCGTTGTTATCACGTACATTGATAATTGAATGAGGTGGCTAAAAAATGAATTAAATATTTAATAACTTAGATTCTTTAAAAATATGACATCATAAATATCTAGTTAATTTTAACTTACTCGGGTAAGATCAATGAGGTGTCTGAATTGAAGTAATTTTATTTTTGAAGAAACATTTGGTAAAATATATGATGGAACCAAATGTGTTGTCAAATTATAATTCAAACGAAAAATGTGAGTCCCTATCCAAAAACCTACTTCTTGGAATTGATTAGGATACGTCAACACACCAGGTCCAAAACGCATGTTATCTTTAAATAGCCCCTATAATTCATCTTGAATAAATTATTTAAGTTGACAACATTTATTTGTTAGGTACTTCAAAAATCAAACCATTTCCATAAATCATACGACCATAACCATGTATTTGATTTACATAAAAATACCCTTCATAAATTTGCTTTTCATTTTCTTGTACCCATATTATTAATCCTAAGCCATGATAACAACCTCTTACAATGGGACCTTTATAAATTTGAGTCAACTGAAGAAAAATTAATTATTATAAAATTATTTTACTAAAATATTTTAAGCAAAATGACATTAATTCTTACTTCTTCATGCTTAATGACATGTTTAGTGTTAGGGTTAGTATTCCTTAACCCAAATAAGTCAAATGTAGGAGTAAAAATAGATTTTTCTTTTATGTTCATTACAAAAAAATTAAGAATTATAGAAAACAAATACTGTATTTATTTTTATAAATAATTAAATAAATAAGTTCAAACATAATTTAGTAGACTCTGGTTACCATTGATATAAAATTAATATTTACAATCAGTATAAATAAATATAAAATTAAAAAAATAATTTTTTCCAAGAATGACAACAGTATAAGTCTATAATTCTTCTCTCCGTTTATTTATTTTGTCTTCTAATATTTTATGTAACTTTTGCACATTTCTACTCTCTTTTTTAATTTTTTTTTCAATATCATTATGTTCATTTCCAGCTGCTAGATCCACATTCAAATGTCGAAGTTTTAATAATCGTCGCTCATACTCTTTTAATTCATCCTAAAAACTTTTAATATAAATAAATTGTTCAATGTGAAATTTAAACTAATTATTTCTTACATGCAGAAGTTGCAGTTCATCTTTATTAAAATTTGTTTCACGAGCTTTAATCCAGATTTCTTGTACTTTAGGTTCCACAAACTCTTCACTATTAGGACCAGTAAGCGATAGCCGATGAAGACGATCAAAACTATCTTTTATATCATGTATTCGATTCCTAAATAATATAAGTAGAAAAGATTAAAATATACAGACATAAGTTTTAAACAGCAAAATAACAAATTTATTGTTTATATTATAATGGAACAAACTTGAAAGCAAAAAAGTGTATTGTGTATATGTAAACAAACTGATATTAAACTAAGTTAATAATACTCTGTCTTTGAGTAAATATGTAAATATTTATATATGTTACATACAAAGTCCGGAATTGTACATTTTGCAATTTGTACAGTGATTTTTGTACACATTGTGAAGTGTACAATGTTGCTGTACAAAGTAACTAGATTGTATAAGTTGCGTTATACAATTCGCGATGTGTACAATAATCACTGTACAAATTCCGAAGTGTACAATTGTTGTACAAATCACAAAATTTAAAAACATATTCTAAAAATTACAATATAATAACTGTTATGTTTTAAAAGTATTTTCTTAATAAATATTACATATTATTACTTATTTTTGTGATTTGTTCAATGATTGTAGTATATTAATATGTAAAGACCTGGTATATATATTTTTATATAGTATACTAATAAATAATAATATGTAATATTAAAAAAATACTTTTAAAACATAACAGTTATTATATTGTAATTTTTAGAATATGTTTTTAAATTTTGTGATTTGTACAACAATTGTACACTTCGGAATTTGTACAGTGATTATTGTACACATCACGAATTGTATAACGCAACTTGTACAATCTAGTTACTTTGTACAGCAAAATTATACACTTCACAATGTGTACAAAAATCACTGTACAAATTGCGAAATGTACAATTCCGAACTTTGTATAATAACATATCTTATATATATATATATTTAAATACAAATATATTTAGTAACTTTTTTTATTCCACAGCTAAACAATGTCTGTCTCACAGAAGAAAATTACTATTTTACTAATGTAGATTGAGTTATAAACCAGTACCGTGCTGAATATGGTGGGAGTAATAGGTGTGAGGATGTGCAAAAATATCTGATTTTCATCAAGACAAGGTACCTTTCTTTCATAAGATAGACTATAGTATTTAAATTTATATCATTACCATGGAAAAATAAACAATAATATGTAGACTTTAACAATTATCAAATACAAATAAAACTTCAGAAAATGAGACTAAATCAAATTATACATTAAACTGCCAAAAAATAATGTTTTCACTACTGAAAAGCAACAGCCAATATTGATATTGTAAAAAATCATATCCATAGACATAAAGATTTGTTCATTTAAACTAGTACAAAAAAAAACACTGAGTTTTTTACATAATATCATTAGTATTGTTCATTAGTCTTTACCCTGATATGGGATAATTTTACTATGGTTCTGATCAATTATGGTTTTTAATAAATTGTCTCTTATATAAACCAAAATTTTTGTAGATTTAGCAAACCTGAAAAAATTTACCTGCTATCCATTAAACATTAAAAAGGTAGTTCATAGTTTTTATTATTACTGTCTGTGTTATTGGCTTATAAATAGATACTAGGTAAGACATATTATATTTTTTTTCTCATTCTTAATACATATACCGTGTGTCCATGGAAACAAAGTCCACTTTATAATTCAGTACACTGTATATATTTTTTAATTCTGTTTGGAGGACATTAAACTAGACTATTGGATCAAACATTTCTTTGATTCACTATTTTTTAACATATTTATTCCAAACATACGCAACACAACTTTATTTTTTATTAATTGTAACCCCTATTTTTGAATTGATCGATTTTTTTTTTTCAAGCTTTTTTGATGTATTAACTTGTATTTTAAAATCAAAATTAATAGAATGAGAAATGTAATAAAAATAAAATATTGTTAAAAATTAATTTTTGAGTATTTTTTTTCTTAATTGTACAAATTGAACAATTTGTTGAATAATTTATATTTGTTATTTCTGTAAGTAAATGTTATGTAAATTTTATTATTTTTCCAATGAAAAAAATAATTATTTTAAAACGTTCTCTGATAGTAAGAATCATATTTTTAATTATATTTCATCAATAGCATAATAATAAAATAAAATAGTTAATAACTCATAAATTTTAAATAAATTATAATTTTAATTATAAAGTTAAGAAGAAAAATAAGTATAGTTAGACAAAATTTGCTCAGAAATTCATATTTAATAATGTTTTATTTTTATCATATTTCTCTTCTGTCAATTTTAATTTTTGATTCATCAAATTGGCTAGAAATCGATCAATCTAAAAATGTATAGTAAAACCTCAATTATACCTAACCCTCTGTTATCCGAACCTTATTTCGTTTAAATTTATGTAACCGAACTTCAATACTCAATACGTAAAATATCACAGCTTACACGCCCAATCGCACTTTTTTTTCAGTACATAATTATATGTTTATCTTAACAACGTTCACCTGCGGCTAGCTTATCATTAAATATTGTATACTGGACATCTATATTATTTTTGTATTATATATATATATATAATCAGTTCGTCAAAACTTTTTTTTAATTTCTATTATTCAAATTCAGTGTGGTCTCAATTAGTTTGGATAATCGAGGTTCTACTGTACTTAAAATAGAGGTTACCGTTAAAAAATAAATAAAGTTAGGTCGTGTATGCGCAGAATCTGTAAGTTAAGAAAATTGTAAATCAAAAGAATTTATAGTCTAATAGTCTAGTTTAATGTCCCACTAACAGATAGAAAAATATATAGTGTACTGAGTTATTAAGTGGACCCTGTTACCATGGTCACACAGTATATGAATAAAGAAAATTAATAAATATATTTATTTACTGTAGTTTTCTTTGCTTATGACTGAAGTCAGTATAACCCTGAGATTCATGTAATGAATTCAAATTGTCTTTTAATCCTTCTTTAGAAATTGCTAAAAAAAAATAGTATAAATATTAATAAAAATGATTTGTTATAAGTTTATAAATATTTACTTATAGGTATATCATTTTGCATGTGTTCAATTTCATTTGTTAATGAATAAAATTCATCAATTTTTTTTTGGTGGCTTAAAAATTCATCTTTCAATGCTATTAGTTCAATATCTAAAAATCAATGGGAAAAAATTGTACTATTTTAATATTTTTAGTTAAAATTTAGTAATTAATAATATTACTTGTAAAACCAGATTGTTTGGCTTGGTCCCATAGTTGATTTAATCGTTTGTCATGCAATAAATATTTATCAACAACTTTGGACGAATCTCCAGAAACATGATCTTGTGTTTCAAAATTTGTTTGATTAATTTGAGGTTCATTCTCATCAAAATGATAGCTTAATTTATATCTATCCAATATACCTTTAAAATATTGAATAGTAATAAAATCAAATTATATTTTATACATTTTTACAATCATAATGGTTAATAAAGAATATAAAACAAAAAAAAAAATTAGTATCAAATTCATTAATCCTTTTAGTTTATGGGTAGTTCAATCAATAAAAAACAAACTTTAAAATATAATGTTTTTAAAGTAGTTAAATCTTTACATTTTTTAATACTAAATTTTGAGTTTTTTTTTTGTTATCATAAATTAAATAATTATAGTATAATTATTTACAAATTTAGTTTATTTTTCCTTTAATATTTCAGAATAATACTTTTTTAAAACCTTAATTAAGTAGAAATATTTTTTTTAATATTAAATAATGTCATTACTCATTACTAATATAAAAACTTATTATAGTATATTTGTTAATCAGGTCATTAATCTTGATCAATAGATTCAAGTCTCTATAGTAATACGAAACCTTAAATAATCTTAAAACATTAATTATATTTTAAGAATTGAGACCCAGTCAAACTTAGTTTGTGAAAAGTTAAAACATAACAAACATGTCACTTTACCTAAAAGCTTTTTTCGGACAATAGATTCCATTTCTCCATCCTTATCTAAGTTCTTGGTTTTATACATCTTAAGTTCCCGTTCGTCTTCATCATGAATCCGCAATTCTGATAGCAATGATCTCAATTCTGGTTCTGAACATCTCTATAAATTTTTAATATGTTAATTGAATTTTGAAATATATATCAAACAAATAGTCACCATTAAAGTTACCTGTTTGGCTTTGCTCCAAACTAAATTAAGTTTATTAATTTTGAATGGTTTATTAAGGTGCCGAACATTAAATTCTGGTTCATTGTTTAAAGAAATTTTTTTTTTCAAAGTTTCATTTTCGTTCGAACGAGAATATGCACTTACATAATAACACAGTAATAGAACAATTAAGATTTTTTTTTTTCCCATGGTTTCTATTATACAATAGCAGTTACATGAAATACTTAATCACTGTCAAAATTAGTGATATAGAAAACTGTAATAGCTTAAAAATGTATTAAATTAAAATTGTGTCAGATCTATAGATTACAGAAAAAATTTTAAATTATTATTAAAATATATGGTGTTAATGGTATTATTATCCTTTATCAGAATATAATTTTATGTTCATGGCCAAAGTTAGTTAATTTACACACCAACTTGTGGATACGAATTAATAATTACATCGATTTGACGGAGTGGGGATTACCGTAATAAAAAAAAAATTTTGATAACATAGTTGATAAACATTAAACAATTTTTAACATGAAATTTAATTTGGAAAGTATAACGAAATGCAATTACTCCATTTATTATTGGTATTTAATTGTTAAAGTTGTCTATTCGTGTTAATATTGAATTGAAGTTTATGTTATTGTGTGATTATTATTTAATTATGTGGTGTCAGTCTTACAAATGTTCCATCGCTATCAAATATGTAAAACGTACTAACATTACTTTCAAAATTAATTCAAAAACCGAATTTTGATGTTTTAAAACGCTCAAGGTTAAGCTCTATTTGTATTAAAATGACATTTAATTATATTATAATATCATGATGTTCGAGGATAGCTTAATATGGTTTGTGTCCGGTGGACTATTGTTTACTACCATTATACTGATTGTTGCTTGTATTTGTGGATGTCACAAGTCAATACCAAAGTGAGTCATATTTTATAGTTTTGCTTAAAGTTATGATTATTTTATTCTATTTACCCATTATAAACTATATTTTATCTATATTTAAGACGTTATAGTAGATATTTGTTACATATTTTATACAGAATGATTCAACTAGCATGCTCACTAGTCACTTTCAATTTAATAAAATTTTGATTTTTAGAATTTTTAAGTTCACTGAATAACCATACTTTCAAATATTATTGCAAAATTGCATGAAAAATTGATAAATTTAATGGTTCAATAAAATTGTATGGACTAATTACCTATGAGTCACTAAATTCTGATAAAGAAACCATTGGCTCAATATTGATCCATTATATGTTTAGTGATTGTTCATACAATTCAAAATTATATTTTTATTCTATTTAAATTTTAAGGAATATTTTGTAGCGATACTAAATTTTATTTTAATACATATTATAAGTTAACCACTTCTATTCTAGACAAACAATATAACCACAGATAATGTAATTGATTTGTCATGTAAATTTCTTGAAAACGTGGTCAACCACCACAGATAATAAGGAAAAATTATCTTATTATAAAAGAGAAGTGCTTAGATAATATTAATAATTCCAAAAAATTTATCAAAAACTTGGTATAAATGCCTCCCTTATTAGTAGTTAATTTGAGTAGGCTGGGCATGTTGAACAGCCTTTTAATAAAAAGTCTGGTAGGAAAGTTAAATTGAAAGAAACCTAGGAATTTCTTTAGACAATATTAGTCAAATAGAATCAATAAAGATTATTCACTAAGGAAACAATAATAGAAGATAAAATAGATAAATACAGATGGAGAAATGTAGAAAAGAATATATAAGAGGCAGAGAAAGTTCTTTAAGGGCTGTAAAAGGTTGAGAAGAGGAAAGATAATAATCTCTTTACAGCTTAGAATTTAAATAATTTTCTGCATTTTGAGTACTAGTATAGCATTAATTTTATATTTTTGTAAACCTATTTTTAGGAACTATTATCCTAGTAGGTCTGAATAAGTAACAGTAATGAATAACGACTCATTTAGATTTAGATTCATCAAAATTTTCAAAAAAAATTATCCGTTTAACAATTTACTATGATAAAAATTTTTGATTATTATTTGAAAAAGAGGTTTGTAATACCACAGAACTTTCTTTACATTATAAAAAACAATATTAAGCACATATAGGATTTACCTATAAAATAACCTGTAAAATAATAGCACATTAAACACATAAGCACTTATTTCAAAATATGGTTTTATATATGATTAAAAATAACAAATTACAATTCGAATAAATTCATTATTAATGGATAAAATTAAGTTGAGTGTACTTGGTAAATTCATTTTATATAACTGAATAAATATAAGTTTTATTTATATGCTTGCTAAACTGTATTCATATTCTATACAGTATATTATACATTATTTTATTTTAGTATAGTTACATCAAAGTATTATAAAAAGAAAAAATACTTTAAAAATGTCTGTTTAATTTTAATTACATATTACCAGGTATTTTATTATAAGTAAATATTTGCTATTAACATTTTTTATAACTTAGGTAAACAAAGTGGGGTGATACTGGGTAACCCGTTAAACATTGGTCTACTAATACACTCAGCTAAACTTTAAATACTTATAACTCACAATACTAGTCCGCATTTCAATTGTTATGTATTGAAATACATTGAAATACTCCAAAAACTATTTTGTTTCAGAAAATGAAATTTAAAATGTATGTTCTTTTTAATAAAAGTTAAAAATTAAAAAATTATAATGATTAAAAATATTGAAAATATGTTTTCAAAAATGTTGATAGATATTGAAATAATTAGTGTTATTTGATAAAAAAAATCACCAAGTATTATTTATTATAAATGTTATAGTTAAAAACAAAAAACTAATATCTAGCTAGATTTACCTATACTCTGTCCTACAATAAAATATATTCAATAATCAATTCCACTACCTACAGTAGCGTGTCATGTGAAGATGTAATGAATAACCGATTCTGATTAGATTATAAATATATATTGCTAAGTAGCTTTTTTAACTGTATTAATATCTGAAATGTTCATTCTGTAAAAAAATTATTTAATATAATTTGTCTAGTGAACATGTGTTGAAAAATTATTGAAAATAATGCATGCTTATGAAATTTAACTTAAAATGTTTGCTATTGTTTGCTTCAATGCTATTTTTAGTGTATTAAAAATTGAAATTTTAAAGTAATGCAATTTAATTATTTTGTTATTTTATTTTGGAATGTTCATTTTTGTTTATTTGCTTGTATCACATAGAAATGAGTTGCTTGGTCTTGCTGGCATGGTAAAAATTACCAATCCTGACGTTGGACCAGAACCAGTGAACAAGAACTTATCAACTAGTCCATCCCCAACAAATAGTACCAAAAGGTTTTTATAATAGGCATTATATTTATAATTTAATTTATATCTAATTTTTTTATTTCTATTTCAACAGAAGTTCAGCTGGTGCAACTTTATCTTCAGCCACTAGAAGTCTTCCTGATTTACCTGTTGAAACACCTAGAGGTTCAGATGCTGTTGCTACTGCTGTTTGGTATGGCGGTGATACCAACTCCGAGCTATATGCTACTGTTGAAGAAAATAAAAATGGCATCAAAGGAGATTCTTCAAAATATCTCAATAATACAATGTCCCCTTCTAGCGGCACTACAGCATCCAAAAGTGAATGTGTCTATGCCTGTGTGAACAAAGAAAACCCATATGACAAATTACAACAAGAACATCCCTATGCTAAAGTCGGTATGCATAATACAACTAATCAGTATCCTGGTTCCCAAAGGTAATTTATATTTGTTTATTGACAAATCCATATTATATTTCAAAAATATACATTATTTTAAAATTTTAAAAATTAACATTATAGATCAGACAAAGCCAGTTTGAATGGGTCAATAGAATTGGATGTAACTGACAGGGCTCCCGATCAAGATATAGCAGCAGCTAGTGTGATTGCAGGTGATGAAGCTGCTAGTATTAACATTCCTTACATGACTCCACCAGTAGGACCTATAGAACATCCATTAAATGTGCAACCAAGGCAGGGACATTACAGTGGCGATTCACATGATTCTAGTAGTAAGAATACTAATAGAATAATTTTATTGTTTTAATATTTTTCTTTAACATTTTTACCAAATTTCAGAAGGATACACAAGTATCAGTGTTCGAGAACCATTATCAAGGATCATGTCCAATGTTAGGAATGGCAGTATACCATCAGATCCTCATTATGCTTTTGTCTCGGATGATTCTGGTATGTGATATAGCAATATTTAAATATACTATAATAAATACATATTTTAATTTATACAGATGAAATGTATGCAGCTATTATTGACCCAAGTAATAATGTATATACTAGTGGAAGTGAAACATATGCTCAGATACCAAGTGCAAATAATATACCAGTTGCTTTAACAGGTCAAGCATATAAAGCTTCTACATCACACATTAGTGGATCTGAACAAACACATTCCAGACAGGGTAATTTTTTAATAATTTATGAGTATATCAATCTATATTTATGATATAAATAATGTAAAATTATAATATCAATTGTATTTGTAGATTCATCATCTAGTGCTGTGAGTTCTAATTCACCCAAGCCTGAAAAACGACCAGCCAATTCACCTCTACCTAAACCTCCAGAATACTTGGATGAAATGTATGCTAAAGTTATGAAAAAACGCAATGATTCGCCCGAACAAGGATCTTCTATTGTGCCTTCTATATACAATGAAGGTATTTATGACAGATTAGTAGAACCTAAAAAGACATCGGATGTTGATCCTAATTACGAAGAGTTACGACCTACTAATCATGGTTATGCTCGGATAAAAAAAATTGACAAACCATCTGAACCAGACTATGCAAGCTTGACTAGGACTATGAATGTTGAATATGTTGAAAATGATCCAAATTATGAAAGTTTAAAAATGGACTTAAACGAAATTAATCACAATTCAATTTATTCAGAAGTGAACAAAAGATAGTTTTTAGACAAACAGCAATTTAGTTTTATAAGTAAATCTAGCATGAGTTCTTTATTTCTTTTCTATTTTTATGTTAAATTTGTACCTGACAAATATGTTTGGTATATTTTGTTCAAATAACATTTATTTACCAAGTTAAGTACCATTATTTTTAAAATTTACAATAACATTAATCATTTATTTAAACATGTGTGTTCACTATTGTCAATGGACAAAAACTACGGCTCAAACTTTTTTAATTGACATAATTTAAAAGTTGTTATTATCAAAAATGTAATATGTTATGCTATAACCAAGTAACCCACCTAAAAACTATTTTATGCGTGTATTTTTACTTCCATTATGATCTTAAGGATAATATAAACTTATTTTTTTCCATTTTAATATTTAGTTTATATACTATATAGAATAATTTATGTTTTACTATTTTTTTTATAAAGTAATATAGTTTCTATAACTTTATTATTATCATATTCAGTATATAAATAATATTTTAGAATTTTATTAGTGCAGCTATATATAATATAATATGCTACGAGTTAAAAAGCACAGACGTTTAAACCAAACTTTGCTATAATATCAAATTAGGTTATTTTAACACAGACTGAAGTATTATTATTATTAGTTTTTTTTTTTTTTTTAATATTTTTACACATGATCTACTTAACAAAATATATGTAAATGTACAATATTATACGATATATATTATTTTTTAGCTTAAATTTTACATGTTAAAATTGGACATATTAAAATTTCACTAATGCAATGAAATAATTATGTATGAATGTTAGCGTTTAATTTTTAAATGTATTTATTTTATACAAGCATACTATTTGTTAGTTTATAAGAGAAAGGTATTTATATTTTTATAACATACACAGTTCTTACCAAATGTTTTGATAAAAAATATGAGCATGGCGCCGTCCTTTTTTAAGTTTATGTTCTCAAATTGCTGCAACTCTGCCTCTACTGACCTCTGTATTGTAATACTATAGTACTCTGGTGTTCATGGTTCAGTCAAGAGGTAAGAGTCGTTTTTTTTTTTTTTTGAACATACTTATATCATATTATATACGAAATAATTTTGTTATTATTAGTTTATATATTCTAAAATTAATATTTTATTTTATGTATAATTTAGTTAAAACTATTAAACATTGTTTAGTATATTTCAAAATCATTTTTTTTATACTTTATATATTATGTCAGTTGAATTAATTGTTTTATTTCCATTATTATTATTATTATTATTGTTCTACATGTATGTATTGTGTTAATTTACTTTTATTTCTTACTTATTACTGTAAACTGTTATATTGTTGATAAAAAGTATAATTATGAATTATACTTAAGTATTAATTAGTATATTGTGATTTTTTCTGTCTGTAATTACTTTTTCATCAAATTTTATATTTTAAATAGGAATATATATATTTATATTATATATATTTTATGTAATTTTTAATAATATATTAACTATAATTTAAATTGCATATATTGAGTAAAACATATTTAAATAATAAAACAAATTGATTTATTGCAATACCATTATGTAATGATTAAAATTAATTGTTAATTTCTTATCTATTTTTATAAACCTTAATTATAATTGTGACTAGTTTAAAAAACAAAAGTTTTTATAATAATGTTTTAAAATGTAAAAAAAAATAAATAATAATAATGAAAGGTAACTTAATAGAATTTAAACAAACTATTTCTTTTGTTTTTTTCATAGAGATCCTTAAAAAATATTCAATTTATTGACTTATAATAATAAATATATGCTAATATTAATTTAAGTATCTCATTTGTTCGTCATTAGACTTTCCACTTGACTAGTTGGCACTTTGATGTAAATTATTTTTTTTGGTCTTGCATCATTAGACATTTGGACGAAATCATCCTGATCTTCCCATTTCCTTCTTTCACGGACTTCTTTGGCACGTTTATGATCTAGCCAGTTAATTATACAAGAAGCCGGTACCCATATCAAACCAGTAATCAAAATTACTGTGCCTACAATGTTATCCTTTAAGAACCTTAGCATCTTGTTAATGTTGATTTCTTCAATGATATCCCAAAAACGTTCTACAACGTCTTGAATAGTTTTCTCGCATGCACCCTATTACAAACCAGCATAATCATTAATCACATAATTTTTTTATTTGACTAATACATTCAATAAACAATTCAATAGTACTTTATTACAAAATCCTTGAATGCATGGCGTACCATCCGGTAATACATCAGGTGGATCAACTGGATAACATGTATCATTTAAATTTATACGACAACAACGTTTGCATGACTGTAATACTAAAAATAAGAAGCTATTATGATTAACAATCACATTATTGGAATTAAATTAATATTATCTTAATAATTGAATATCTAAAAACAGTCATAAATTAATTTTTACTTACTAGTATCACACATACAACTTTGTAATCCTTGTGTCTCGCAATAAGGTATGCATTTACCAGAACGACATTTACCCCTTTCGAGGCAGCCAGTACCATCAGGCATAGGTGGACTTTTAGGACACTCAGCTCCAGTACCTGTACAACGAGATTCTTGCTCACAAGTGGCAAATTGCCCTTCACGGCATTTCACACCAGATGCCATAAATTGACAATTTTGACAACATGGTGAGTTTTTATCACTAAATAAAATTAATCACAAAATGAAATGACAAACAATAATTAAATTTTACTACACAGTATTTTATATTTTAGTACCTGCATCTAGCACCTTGAGCTCTTCTGAGTTTACAGTTTTTATCACAGCAAGAGTCATTATCTTCAGTACCTAAAAGACCAGCATCACATTCTTCATTTCCTTCAACTCTAAGATTACCACAAAATGATTCCTCTGGCTCAGAAAAACAACGTGCTGATTTAGCTTGTAATACTTTGCGTATAGACCGTAAACTGCATGGAGAGAATCTCTGAAAAAAATGTAATAAAATTTAACATAAATGTAATAAAATTTAAAATTATTTTTTTTTTATTCAAACTTACTTTGTTGTTAATATCATATCCACTGACACTATATGTATACATAAGAAAAGATCCTCCCTGACTAGCCGTAGGACTACATTCAGTTATATCTGGATCATGTTCAGATCCCCAATTGTGACCAAATTCGTGAGCAGTAACTAAATCCGCTTCTCGTGTAATTACTCGTTGACCATAATGATTACGGCTTGAACTTAGACCAGAATTAAGGTATAATGTATACCCATTTTTAAAATACTCTGTTACATTAAATATCCAATTATAAATATGTATTTTTTTGAAAAATATTTTTTTTTTTTTTAACTATTCCATCACCTGGTGTACAAATTCCACCAACCGAATTACGTCTAGGAGAACCAACATAAGCAAGTCCTAGAATACCTCCTTCAAATTTTAAGTCAGTAAATAGATGGGCCAAGCAGAAGTCTTTATGGCTATATTCACGGCTAAATACCTGCCACCAGCAAAGCAATATAAAGAAATAATAGATTATTTATAATTTTTATATTTTTTAGAAATTAAATTTATCCTATTAATTAATAAAACAAATAAAGTTATTATATTGAGTTAAAAAAAGCAAAAGTAGAGATGCATATTTAAACAATTATTAAATTCCAAGTATACTTGTTAATTTAATAGTTAAGCAAATATAAAATTAAAATACTAAAAAAAATGATTTTATTGTACTTGGATAATTACATATTTCATATTAGTCATTAAATATTAATTATTATAAAATATCATTTACACCGTTAATTATAGCAAGTAATACAAAAGCAAACATCCTAGGATAAGATATTGTTAAGGCTAAAGGAACAAGTAACTAAATTAACTATGTAAGTAGCCTTAAAATTAATTATTATGAATAAATAAATAATAAGAATCCTTGTATTAGTCCATTATCTAATTAATCACCAATAACATAATAACATAATGACATAACATTATAATCCACGCACTATTAAAAGTAAATATGGTTGAATGTATATATGATCACATAGATTTTACCAATGATAATATTCAATATTTTATTAGTATGTTAAGGATTTATGAAATTAATTAGTGCTTTGTGCAGTTAGTCTTTTTCCATCAATAAATTGTCATAAACAAGAAATATTCACCAGGACTACATATGCCGCCGATTGCATAACTTCTAGGTGAGGCTATATATGCTAGACCCAATACTGAAGATTGTTTTGTTCTGAATGTTTGATGGGTAAATAGATGTGCTAAACAATACTTGGACACATCTTTTGATTTAGAAAATTCCTATTTGTTATTATTGATTAATTGTAAAATTAATAATTATTGATATAAATATATATGTAATATGTATATTTAATAATAAATTAAATGTTTTATTGTAATATTTACTACTATATAATTTCAAAGATTAAGTTATAAACAATAGAAATAAGAATGTTAAGATAGAATTTATTTTCTAAGTAGAATTAGAGATATTAAATATTTAGGAGTTAAAATTGGGAAATAATTGGAGATATGAATAAAGCATAAGAAAGGAGTAAAACTTAAAATTAGTAGGTAAAGAAAATTCAATATAGCATAAGAAATAGGAGTTTGACTAGTTTTGAGGTGGTAAAAAAATACTTAGAGTTATATTGAAGAAAAATATAGAAATATAGCAAGGTGGTCTAATAAAAAGTGAATAAAAAGACAATTTGTACACAAATGTAATGTGTATTGTTTAGATCATATAAAACAAAATACCTCAAGTAGTGATCGAACATCCCATTTTTCTCGAATCATGTTATAATGATCCTCTGAACTTCGCACTTTAGTTGGATCACTATGTACTGTTATTTTTTTAATAACAAATCCCATTCCGCGAAATCCATCAGACTCTTGACGTTCCAACCATAAAGTATCATTATATATTTTGTGTACACGATCAATTAAACTTATCTAAAAAATATACATACATTATAAGTTCACTAATTATTAGATATGTATAAAATTAAAATATATTTTGTTTAGATAAGCCAGAGTATTTTCTAAATAATGATAAAAGCTGTTAAAAACAATAAGTATTTGTTTGTTAACTAAGACTGATAGTCTAGACCAAGTATACACAATATTAAAAAGTAACTAATTTATTTATGAAATAGTAAATTATCAAATTAGTCTAGTTAAATTTATTGAAATACTTTATATTTAAATCCTTACTAAATAATTTATAGTTGTTTTTGTATCACCTCCACCCATTTCTCTAAAAAATCTATAATCAGCAACCAAAAGCAATGGACAACGAGTTCTTGTCGGTGTTATCATATAATCATAAGAATCGGCATCACGTTTAGAACGTGTAATGGAATTTAAATTATCGTCGTCTTCATCTACAGTTTCCACCTCTGAAAACTTATTATTAGTTTAATCAAATCTAAAATCAACACAATTAAAACACAAACCTGCGTCTTCTTTTACATAAGCACAAGGTTTATGTTGATTTTGGTTTGAATGTTCCCAACTTAATCGTACATCTGATGCCTTATAAGTTACCATTGTTTTGTTATCTTTATCAACCATATGCCTCCAAGATGGCTAAAATAAAAATAAAAATAAAATAGTAAATTGAAAATTACTAATGTAAATTAAACTGTTTTATATACTTCAATATGATAAGTTTCTCCAGGAACATCAATAATAGCTGTCATAACACCTTTATCTAAATGTACACTAGCATGTGAACTTTTTTCTCCAAATACCCGACCATCATAAAAATGGTCATGATCTAAATCATAAAGAAAAAATTAAAAGAATAATATTTTTTTAAATATTATATGCTTCACCATCACAATTCATATTATAGAAAATAAAAATATAATTTATTATAGATACTTAATTTTAGGATATTATTTGTAAACTTATTATTTATATTTTTAATGAGAAATATGTTTGCCAAGTTAATAAATAATAATGTTTCAACATACCAACTGCCACCGGGGTTTCGTTTCCTTCAGCATCTATACTTGTGGCTTCAAATTGATGATGTAATAATCCTTTTTTTGGTGTTAAAATTAAGCGAAAATCCCTATAAAATAATTTGAATCAATATTTCTAACTATAAGCATCAGGAGATGGACATGAACTATAGCATAGAGAGACTTTTAATTAAATCAATGAAGCAATGTACATTCTACAGGTTTACGTATTTAATTATAAATATATTACCTTCCTAATGTGGTAAATGATACTTCTTTTACTTTATTTAATGGATGTGGACTATCATTAATACCTCGTTTTACTATGGAATGAGAAAAATCTGAAGCATGTAAAATTTCAAAATGGGCAAGATTTTTGTGGATTGTACCTAAATAATAAATTTAAATTAATAATAATATTTAATTTATACAAACATACAAAGCTCATTACATACTTTGAACATTGCTTGTTATAAATAATAGAAGTAAATTTAGTGAAAAAGTAAATTTTTTCATAATAAATGATTATTTGATTAATAAAATTAATTCAAATCCAATAAATTGCACGTTAATACCAAACAGAAGAATTTTTAAGTGAACATAAATACTTTGTATATTCACTACATATTGTGGCATTCATTTGGTTGAACATTTTTCAACATGAAAATAACAATATTAATATATTAGGCAATAAAAATAAAATTAAGAAATAAATTCAAAACTATACTGGAGCAAGTATCCTACGTGAACAATGTAAATACTTAATTCAAAAAGTCAAAAATGAAATTAATAAACTATATAACTATAATAGAATCTTCAACCTATTATGTATAAACATAGGTTATTTTGCGAATTTTATTATATTATCTAATCACAAATATTGCAATAATATTTACATTATATATATAATATTAATAATATAATATTATCTATGATTTAATCAGCTGTTGATAATGTTGACAAAATATTAACTGATAATGATTTTCCATTTCAAATATTTTAAGCATGGCTTTTTTAAAACAATTCAAATTATTTCTTCATTCTACGAACAGTACGAACTGCCTTCGATTTGACACATCAACAAAATATAATAAATTGTTTTCATCTGGAGCTGTTTTTTCATCTAATGGTATGATTTTTAATTAATATTTTATTCATACTTTTATTAATATAATTTAATGTTTGAAATGTGTAATATAGAATTATATTATATTCTGTACTCAAAACAACAGTTTGTTTGAACATAAAATTGTAAATATTGTAAATCTTTTCATTCTAAAAGGTTAAATTAGATTGTTTCCACAATAATGGTATAAACTTTGCTGTGAATCAATGTTTACTGATTATTTTCTACATTTACATTATTCAAAGTTTTTAATATGATATTTATCTTTTTTTTTTCTCAACAATTAGTGAGACATCCATAACATTCTATGAGTACTATAGATGATAGATGTTCCTATATTTTTTTTAAATATATCATGTATTGTTAAAAAAAAAAAAATATTATGTTGTAATAATAATTATTAGAAATTTAGTTGTCATATTATATTTTATTATTTCAGAAAATGTAATTTATCCAAATGTTAAAACATTCAAACACCAACATATTACTTTAATATCATTGAATAGACCAGATGATAAGAATTCATTAAATGTGGCAACTTTAAATGATTTAAGAAAAGCTATTACAAATTTTGAGAATGATTCTTCATCAAAAATTGGTATTTTATATGGTGAAGGAGGATCATTCTGTGCAGGAATTGACTCTAATGAATTTTCCAAGGCGCCACAAATATATGATGTAATAAATAAAAATTTAGTTAATTCAATTTTTTTTTATAAAGAAATTATTCATTTTTCTTTAAGGAATTTTTACAATCGCATTGTCAAAAGCCAATCATAGCTGCTGTTTCTGGATTTGCTTATAATATTGGTTTTGATTTGTGTTTATGGTGTGATATGCGCATTGTAGAAGAGAATGCTGTCATGGCAATTGATAGAAAATTAAATATGTCTAAATCAAAACCATTTCTTAAGAGGCTTTTAAAAACTATAGGTTATTCAAAAACTATGGATTTATTATTGACTGGCAGAGATGTAAACTCTAAAGAAGCATTTGAAAGTGGTCTTGCAAACCGTGTAGTTGCATGCGGATCAAGTATGAAAGCCTTATTCTCTTAATTACTGTATTTTAAAATAATAATTAATTTTAAATGTGCTTAATTTACAACAGGTGTTGGTCAAGCAGTAAATATGGCGTTTAATATTGGCAAATTTCCCCAACAATCAATTAATTACGATAGAAGTGTAATACATAAAATAATATCAGAATAATATTGTAATATAAAATTAGTACCAATCTTACTGTCTTGAAAGGTACGAACAATGTATCTTCATGAAACCACACATCATTTTTCATGTATATTATCAAAAAAAAAAAGAAACATGAAAACATGAAATAGCAAAAACAACTAAGTATTTTAAAAATGATGACCGTTGTAATGAATAAAACCTTATAAAGAGTTGTCAGACTTCAGCATAATATACAACACCCTATTAAAGTTACCATTATTCATGACATTTAAGAGAGTTCTTCTAGTTTGAGATGTTTACTGAGAACTGAAATAATGTTTATTTCCCACTCATTGTAACACATGCAATATAATGAAATATAAAGTATGTTTTGTTTAAAGATATATTTTTTTGACCTAACGCATTTAATAATCTTTGTTAAAATAAAAAAATCGTACTTTATTTATTCATTTAAACAGGAAGTATAAATAGCATTAGGTATATAGATAATGTTTAACTCACATAAAATAAACTAGATTGGTACTATACATTATACAGTAAGTATACATATTACATTTAAGTTATTTTATAACACTTAGTACACACATAAAAATATAATTTGTCTCATTTAATTATTATTTAACATAAACATCCAGTGACAAAAAATATAAAACTAAGTTAATATGGTATACCATGTAAATGTAAATAAAACTATGGAATTCCAAACAAGTGCTTCACTGGGATTCTTATCCATTAATATTCTACACAAAAAGCTTATAAGTTTATAGGCGATGATTCATTATAATTTTGAGATAAGAGAGGGTTGCTAATATTTTTAACATCAATATGAGTTTAATTATAGTTTGAATGACTGACAATGCAATTTACTTATCACTAGTATAAGTGTAACAGCGCTGAATCTACGATAGATTTACAATAGCTATACTAATTGAAGAATTAAGTGGTGGAAACAACTGCCATCACTAACACTATTACTTAAGAATGAATCGAAAAATGTAATGTTCAACCAAGTAAATACACCTATTTTAGAAAAGTGAAGTCAAAATCTCAAAAGTGTTATAACTTTTAAAGTTAAATAACTTCAAACTTGTATAACAAAATATTAAAATAAATACCACCTGCCTGCATTTTATCATCATACTTATTAGTATGTTTTATAGAGTATAGTATATATTATATAGTCTCTATCATACAAACTATTTATCCATGTACGATATATTATCTATTTACAGCTTTATAGCAAAATCATTACAATACTCATAACTTAATAAATTCTGGCTTTAGGTTGAATTATTATAGTAAAATTATCAAATAACAAATTTAATGATAGAAACAGTATTTAGACAGCATCTTTTTACGTCTTTTTATTAGTTCTTAAAAAACATTAAAATATCTCAAGACAAATTATGAGTTTAACTATTTCAATAAATATCAATATTATAAACGATGACCACCCTAATTGGCCTAATTTCTTTTGAATATTCAAGCCGTTTCTAGGTTACAGGTGGTCTTAATAATTAATTAGCATAGGTAGAGATGTTATTAAATTTTAATTATGGACAAAACAATTATGTTACATAGATGTGTTCTATAAATTAATTTTAATATTATGAGAAAAAAAAATTATTTTAATATTTTAAGTTTCATTACATTTTAGATGAGTAACAAAAAACAATATTTATAGGAGACTTCCCTGCCAACCTCTAAGTGGTGTCTCTTAAATCCTAGGTAATGTTAATAAGATAAACGGGCCCAAACTAATTTTCCCAAGTAAACGAGGAAAATAAATTTACTCACTATAGGTTATAGCGGTATAAAAACATCAAAGTGTGATAAAATGTGATCCTTAAGTAGTTAAGTAAGATATACTTACTATAACTTATAATTCCATTAAAAATATTGTAATCATCGTATAAAGTAGGTATGTTATTTTTTTTTATAATTACATTTATCACGGCAGTATTTTATAATTTAGCGTCCTAGGAATAAAACTATTTCAACGCTTCTCCCTTCACAATATTTCTACATAGAAAAAATGTAAAGAAGACACTGATTATTTTTTTATTCACTGTTAATAATTTATATTACCTTAAGACAATATGACGTTTCTAATTAAGAAGTCGAAGAGGTTTCCAAGGATTCAGGATCGCTGCGACAACGCAGTAAACAATTTACGAATGGAATCACCATTGCTTGTTAATTTCAAGTAATTACCTAGCATAAATATTAGTTTGTATGGTAGTAAAGAGTAATAAAGTTAAAAAATATTTTAAAATTCACCATGTAATATTCATGCTTCAGTGGTGCAATCAGTGGCATAGCCGGAATTTTTGAATAAGAGGGGAGGGGTTTAAGGTAGTTTAGGTATATACTAGGGATGGTTCAAAATATGCATTTTAATTAGAATTATTTTGTTTATAATTTAAAAGTATTTGACTTCATTACATTAACTATAGTCTTCTTATTTTTATCGCTAATTTACTGAATAATTAAAAATATTAAAATAATTAAATAAAAATCAATAAGGAGGTTACAACACCCAAACCCCCTCCCTGGCTGCGCCACAGCTTGCAATCCATTCATATCGAAATTTTCGTTGAAAAATTACATATATTTTGCTCGAATAACCATGCAATAACACTTTAAAAAATCGGGTTTTTGAAAATAACTGCTTGTAATAGGTATTCCGTTTTAAAGATGTAGTCACAAAAAACTAAAACGTCCATCTGTTCTAGTCATGTTTAAAAATTTGCTGAAATGTCAAGTATGTCATCGTCTTTGATTTAAGATCGCGAGAAAATGTTAGGGTAGGTTAATTATATTAAAGGATTAAATAACAATAACTTTGTTTCGTTTTTAACAGATAGAGACATCATCATTCATAGAACATGTCGGTCAGCCAGTACAGTTGAGAAGCCGTTTTTATTATCTATGTCTAAGGAGGATGGCTTTTCTTCGGGGTCTTCCTCTGAAGATGAGGCCATCGCCATGGCAAACGATGTTGCAATTCCGGACGTAAGTGCATTTATTTGATTTTTCAACTTTTGTAACGCAATATATTATTGTCAATACGCATGCCTTACATGTTCTAATACCAAATTTCAGAGTAACGAAGTTGTACAAACGGATGTAACAGCGAACTCTAAATCAACACCACCTAACTCCGTTACGGCATTAAACTTCCAACGATGTAAGTACCTATCAGTTAAATAAATGATTATTATCTAGCAAAATTGCATTTTTCTAATTAATGTATTATCTTATTGTCTAACTATTGATGGCACATACAAGATGCTAATGAATCTATTTAATAGGTTCAACGATGGAGTCCTTTTGGACGAGAATAAATTAAAATTAAGATATACTTACTGTTGTGTACTACTAAATTGAATAATAACACAAAATATTCTTTAATCCCTTATTTTTAACTTTCTAAATCGTAATGACTATGTATTCAATATGTCTATACTTACTAAAGATCAATGGACAGTCTAGACCGATCATATTGCATGTAACATGATATTTATATTTATTTTTAATATAAACACAATGTGTAATAAACATAAATGCTGAATATGTAACACTTATGATCACGTATTTTTACTCTATATACATGATCATAATAATTGTTTGTAATATTTTTTTTTAGAAAGTTTTTACTCGATTTACACAGAAATCATTAGTGGGTATATCGCAAACAAATGTATGGGAATGAAGGTGATTATAGACCATAGACCCATTTTGCGGAGCTGGTAGAAATATAATTGAGCTTACCAGAGTTTGCAATTCAAGTACTATAAAAATACATTCTTATTTTCTTATTGTAAATTCTATTGTTTTCTTTCTTTTCGAAATAGAATATTAAGCTTTTTTCTGAACAAGTAATAATTTAATAACAGTTATTAAAATCTTTTTACAATTTAGTCATAGCAATCGATATCGACCCGGCGAAAATTCAGTTAGCGAAGAATAATGCGGAAATGTGTAATGTGTATAATAATATAACATTCATAACGGGAGATTTTTTCAAAATTTATGATCAACTACAAATAACAAAAGCGATTGTTAGATACACCACCGCCTTGGAGTGGTTCTAATTATGATAATAGCCAATCAATTAGTACAAACAATATTTTAGTCGACAACATTTTGGAATTGAGGATAAAGGTAACACCAAAGATTTTATTACACATGCCGAAAAACCTCAACACAAATGAAGTATATACATTATTATAGTTAGGCTTCGATATAAAATATGGTTTATAAAATAATGTTTCGTATAATATATTGCTCTTGATATTAATTTATTTGTATTTGCATTTTGATTGGAAAACAAAAGAAAATAAGAACTTATAAAGAAGAAACGTTAAAAATTAACTACTATAAGAATTGCAAGCTACTGCAGTATTTCAATTCATTCAAAGTAAGTCATGTGTGTATTTTATTTTGGTAATTGATGACGAAAAAATGATCTATAATTAGTCAATTTAATATTAAATAAAAACTACATTTATATTACATAATATTATTAGAACATATTCATCATACCTGTTTAAATTTGTTTGGATAATGGAAAAGAGTATACAAATTATTCCATCAAAAATTTCAATTAATGTGAGTCGAAATAAGCGCTTACCATAAAGTTATTATACAATTATGTGTAAATATATCTTGTAAATTATTTGTCTTTAGCGGCCTACTTTAATAAAATTGACTCCAAAGAAGTGTACCGTAATTATCTTAAAAAAGTTGGGCACTTTTTAGGTCGTTTCCATAAAATCCAACGTGAGATGTGGAATGGCAGCTATTATGCTTAAAGAAGATGAACTAGCCAATTCAAAAACCTTTTCCTGATCCTGCCTACTCTCTGCTCCTGCTACCACCGCCACTTCTACCCACTACCCTCCTCTCCAATGCCGCCGCCGACACCCATAGACCATAACAATTTGTCAACATTTACTATAATGTTACATCATATAGTGAAAACTTATGTGCAATAAAATTGTTGAATACAATTATAAAATTCAATAAACCTATTATTTTTTGTATTTATTTTATTTAGTTACTAGTATTAACTATGATAGCTCAACAATTACATTTTTAACAAAGAATTTAAATGACCTCATATGTCAGGGATAGCCAACAAGAAGAGACTTGCGAGCCGCTCACTATATTAATAAACATTGAAGAGCCGAAATGAAAAAAAAGTTCATATTAGTGTATGTATATGATTATCGTAAAGAAGATAGTTAGATATAAATAATTGTAAAAAAATGTATAAAATGCGAAACAATATATCTATATGATATTAAATAATAATTAAAAATAAAAATAAATATATATTTAAATTTTAAATATTTTATCAAAAACTGTCAATGTAAATAAAATTTGTTGTGGCCATTTTTGGTATGTATTATATAAATATTATACATTGTATTAAAAGTTTCTATTTACGTTGTAAAGATATTTTCATAAAATATATTTTATTCGTAAATGAGACAAATTCTCAAATTTCTCTGGCAATTTAAATTGTTGTATCAATGGGGTCTTGTCGTTTGTCATCAATCATTCAGATTTAAGATTATATTTCGGAGTTTAGACAGTAATCACAAGCGGAATCGAATAATCAAAACATGCGTGTCGGAGTGGCTTTAAAAAATGAAACAGGAAACCAGTACGGTTGTACGAACTGAACCAATGTACGAAGAAATAAAAAATAATAATGTATCGTCTGTGGCCTACAGGAGTAGACAAAATCGTTATAATATGTATTATATTATAAATGTTTCGAGTTTACTTGAATATTTTGGCTAAGTATGGTTAAAATCTTATAAAGTTTTAAGTATTAGTTATACCTAACGGCTAACACTAGTAACACTTAAATGTGTGTTAAATATATTATATCTGCCCAGTGGCGGATTTTACGGGTAGCCCTAGGGGCCTCGTCTCTCTCCACCTATTAGCCTAAGTTTGGTTTTATTAATATAATATTAAATGTAAATAAGTAATTGAATGTGTGAAAAAATTATATTTCTATCTGGTAACCGTGGATAATTTCTCAAAACCAGATTTTATAGTTATCAGAAAAAGGTTACAATATTCTTATCGTGTGAACAATATTGTTTCTATATAGATTTATTTAATTTAATTATTTTATCATGGATTGAAGTGATTGAACTCAGATTGGTTTTCATATTTCTGAAAATAAGTATTGATCTGGCTTAAGTTTTGATGACCACAAATATTTTTTGTTTTTATTTAACTATTAGACTGCCACCAAAATATGTCCAGACAATATTAAATTTATTGGTACGAGTATTCTCCATACACATACACAAAACACAAAATGAGAATATATACAAATATCACTTATTTATAAATTATTTATTAAACAATAAAAATACCATAACAAAGTATTTATACTATTATGTTTAATAAGAATCTACTTATTAATATAATATAACAGTCCACGGTAGATTTGATTTCATGGCAAATTTATCTACTACCTTTTCAAAGTTCAAGTTAATATCAGTTGAGAAAGATAGTTCTAAATGTCTTGGCCAATTTGTTGAATTTATATTTTCTCGATTATTTGCAAAACTAAATATATTTTGGTGTTTAGGTTGATTTATAATAATAAAAATTATCAAATGAAAAATCTAATAATAGTAACAGTATTGAGAAAACATCTTATTATGTCTTGTTAGTCCTTATAAAAATTAAAATATTTCAAAGACAAATAATGAGTTATAGGCGTTATAGCTATTTCAAAAAATTTTGATATTATTAACAATGACCACCCCACTACCCAGCCCTAAACATGGACTGTGGGAAAGCCCTAGTATTTTGTATGTTCAAGCCGCCTCTGACCTAATTATTTGACCATAGAATATAATATAGATTAAAATATTAAATAAACGTTTGGAGTAATGGCATACATTGTACTGTTCTATTTATAAGTACAGTTTTGGTTTTTACATAAAAATGATAAGTGACGTTAGATTATTAAAAATTTTCAAATATAGTTTATTATTTTATGTGGGTATTGTACTGTTGAGTGTTGACTATTGTGCTATTTTGCTATTATGTGTTTGTTAACTGTAAAATACCAATTGACAAAAAGGTTCTAAGACGTGTTATTATTAAACTCAAGTCTAAAAAGTTAATTTTGTGAAGTCATTTGTAGTCTCAAGCTTTATATTGTCCACCTTTCCTTTATTTCTTTTACAGTTATACATAACCAATTGTCGCTGTGTTTGATTTAAATCTATAATAAATTCAATTCAAATTAATTTCTTCGAATAATTGAAGTAATTTAAGTAAGCAAGTAATAATATTAAATTAGCAAATAAGTACTGTTTCAAGGGTGGTTTTTTAGCGTTTTTTTTTTTTTTTTTTTTTAATTATGTAGTAGCTGTGGTCATGGTATTGGTATTTTTGTAATGCTCTTAAAACATTTTTAATTAATTTTTTTCAATGTTAATATGTATATTATCTCAGTATAAATTAACTCTAATTTATTGAGGTGTTTGAATGATTATAAATTATAATGTTGGATAAAATTGTCTAAAATATATCATTCCTGCCATCTTATTATTAGTTATTGATCATAATCATTTTTCAGTTTTACAGGTACTAGGTAGTGGTTTAAGCTTATAATGGATACATGATGATTACAATTATATTAAATATTTTTGTACAATAAAATAGCAGTTATTGATAACTATATTTTTGTGAGTAGTATGGATTCTTATAACATTGTTGGTGTGCTCGGACGTGGAGCTTTTGGGTAAATATTTAAATAAATTTAACACAATATATTATTACTTTTTAATTAATAAATATTACAATGTTTAGAGTTGTTGAATTGGTTAGAGACTTTAATTTAAAGAAATTAGCCGTGATGAAGACTATACATATAAAATCCATGTCAACAAAGAACGTAAAGGTAAACAACAATAATATGCTGTATTTGTAATTTTAATGTACCTACATTTTTTCAGGAAGCTATCAAAGAAATTCAAATTCTTCAAATGTTGAATCATCCAAACATCATCAGATATTATAATAGTTTTCAAAATAAACAAAGTTTTCATATTATTATGGAATACGCCATACACGGAACTCTAGAAAACTTTGTTAATAAATGTTCTCAAACTTCAAATTATATTGCCCAAAATGTATTTATTTATTTTTTTAAATTTTATAATTTATAAATTAATTTTTATCAACTTTTATCTTAAAATTTTCTAGTGTGTATTAAATATATTTAGTCAACTTACAATGGCTGTGGATTACATCCACAAAATGAAGATAATACATAGTGATATTAATCCAATGAATATATTATTAACTGGAAGTCAAGGTACAATAGTAAAACTTGGCGATTTTGGCTCTTCTCGCATATTAACCAAGTAAATTTTTAATTGATAATTTTATTATTATTTACTCCAAGATAAAAACAATTTTATAAACTTAATATGCTAGTGACAAAATTATTGGTGAAAATTGGTGTACTCCATGTTATATGTCTCCTGAGCAATGTTGTGGGAAACCTCTAAGATTAAAAACTGATATATGGCAAATTGGTTGTGTGTTATACTATTTGATTACTTCAAAACATCCTTTTTATGCTGAGGTAAGGAATTAGGATAATAATAATATACTCATTGATTTATAAGAACATAGCGATTAATCTAAATTTAACCAAATTTATAGAGTTTAGCAGATACTATATCAAGCATTGTAGAAGGAGTTTTAAGTTTTTCAGAAAAAATTACTTTTTACGACAACGATGTGATAATGCTTTTGCATGAGTTATTAAATCGTGATCCAACTGTTCGACCTAATGCATCTGCTATACTTTCAAATCCATTTATACTACCTTATGTATTAAACAGCAATTGTCATTGGCCTAAATCTGGTAGGAAAGTTTTAAACAAAAATTATTAAATGTATTCATTAACACAATTTTTTGTTATTTAAGTGTATAAATAACTAATAAGAAGTAATTGTTATTATTACTCTGTTAAAATGCTTGGATTTTTTTTTTAATTTTTTTTTTTTTAAGACATGGTTGAAAAGCTTACATTTAAGAATTGAAGTTTGATTAATAAAATATTAAATTTGACTTCAACTCAAAAAAAAAAAAAAATTCTGTGACCAACAAATAAATGTATACAATTTGAATGTGCAATTATTTTGTTAAGCTATTTATTTTTTTTGTAATTTTGTGTTAATTGATAATTTGAATAAATTAGGAAATAATGTTTATTATCTATTTTCTATAAAGATATATACTAGTTTAAGTAATATATGATTGATTTATTGAGTAGATCTGCTTTATTTTTAACCTATGTAATTACCTTTAAATTTATGGAGGTACTAGTGTTTGCTACTTAATTCAGAAATTTTAATTAAAGAATTCACGGTAATTAAATTTAATTTCAATATTTCAAGTAGTTTTGCAACTGGTTTTTTAAAGTAATACACTACTTCTAACCTTAATTGTTTAAATTATAAATTATTATTTGTTCATAGTATGATAATAAGTATTTTTATTCTTTTATTTTTTATTTGTTGATCCTCAACATTATTTTCAAATGTGTCGTCTGTCTTATAAAGGTAAGAACATTTGTACTTAAGAATTAGCTTTTTCAATATTTTAATTTTTAAACTAGAAATGAGCACTTTTAATTTGTAACTAATATTTAAAATAAGTGTATCTTGCTTAGAAATTCAATTGTAAAAAAAAAGTCAACACTAAACAACAGATAATATCTTATTTTAAACTTTGATTATAAATCAATTTATTCTAATATTAAAGCTAACAACACAGTTTATTTTACTGTATACATGTAAGGGTAGTGTCCTAATTAGAAGTTTGTTCTGATATCTAATCACAAGACAAGACATTAATGAGTGTACAAGTTTTTTTAAGTTGTTGTCTATTATGATATAATTAATAAATAAAAAAGATACAACTTAAAATAATATTTCTCATTTGAACACTATTGTTAGCAGCAAAACCAACAATGTTTAATCTCTATTTAAGTATAATGATTTGTGTTGAGTGATTCATCATCGCCTAGTTGGAACCATTGAAGCTATGGGTATGAAATTAGAACAGTCGTTTTGTTTTGTGATGTATACACCTATCACCTACTAAGATTGGATTTTTTCAAAATTCAACTACTACAGGAGTTAAAAGTTATATGTTGGTCACACAAAAATCAGCATACGGGCAAAGCCAGGTTATTCAGCTAGAATATATTATAATTAACACACTACTTCTAACTACTGATCGAAACAATTAAAAATAATAGTATCTTGTAAAATAGTTTATTTATTAATTAATAGCAATTATAAACTGCATATATTTTTTTTCTAAGAATTCACAGTAACAGACAGATAAAACAAAATAATGAAAACCATTTTTTCTGTTCAAATCAATACATTTGTCATCTGTTAGTCATGCCTTAGTTGTACATCTTCTCACCTTGATCAATAAAAAATAAAAATCTATATGCAAGTTATGAAATTATTTTATTTACACAAGATTACTAAAAAATTAAATATTCTAAGAATTCAATATCCAAAATAAATAAGTATACACTTTTAATTCAGTTTTCATTTATTTATTAAAACAAAATTATATATTAAATAATTAATACTAATTTTTAATTTTTGGTCTTACTCACATCAAACTTATCGTATCAGCTTATGATGTTCTTCATATTAGCTTGTGGCCACTTCTGCAATAGACAACTGTTATCCATTTTGTAACAGTTTTCAGTTAAGTAAATATAGTATTTATAAAAAATAATATGTTACTGTCCGTAGTTCATAATTTTCATCATATCCAGGTTAAGTTATTTCAGAAGATGGATTGTAGACTTATAAATGATCACTGCAATCACTAAATACTATCAGACATGTAAAATGAGTTAGCATTGCTTTAAAATGTAACACTCATGTGCATTAATGTATAATGCTTCTCAACATATAAGCTTAAATAACTAAAAGTTAATATTTTACTAATAACCTATTGATAATAGGATTCATGAAAAAATTATAATTAAAAAATAGACCAATAGTATGTGTATCTGTTCTTATCTTTTAATAAACTGATTAAATATTAAACATAATATATTCTTAAATTATAATTGAGAAATTTAGCCTTCAATATAAGGATCAGAGGACTGGATCACCACTATTCCATTGGTGTGGGTGCTTCATTATTGTCATCATCATCATCATCAAATTCTTCAATATTTTCTTCTAGTAAAAATACATAATTATAATTTATAAATAGAATAAATTTAAATCTATTTTTTATTAAATTGATTATATTAATACTAACCTCCATTTAGTGGAACAGACTTTTTATTTTGGTCTTTGTTAGGAATTTGTCCAGCTTCAAGTAACTTGGAAAGTTGTTCAACTTCTTCTAATGATGATGCTTCAGATATTGCCTTTCGAATTCTCCACATGTCTGCTTGGCTATGACCTATATTAACAATAAATAATAAATAAAGACTAATCTATAAAAATTACATTTGACACTTAAAAAAAATACTATTTAAGATTCATAAACATAATTTTAAAATTATACCAAACAAAACCTACATACACTGATTAAATTTTAATCATTATAATAAAAAAAATGTATTATTCTGAATGTAAAATTTGTTATGCACTAATAAAACAGAGACAACATAATAATGCAAGTATAATATCCTCTTAAACTACACAAATGTGAATTAATAAATTATTTAACTGTAAAATACAATCAAAGCTATATTTTGAAAATAAGTTGATTTAATATATTTTTAGCTTTTTTTTTTATTACCATTTGCTCTTCTGCTTTCAAGACCTTCTCCAGGAACAAATTGATTAGATTTTTTAACCAACTTCTTTTTAAGTTCTTTTCCTTCTTTGCCTTTAAATAATGCTTTAGCTGCTTCATATTCCTATAATTTATATAACAATAATTAAATATTATAATTATTAAATAATAAATTTTAAGAAAAACAACAAACCTTCAATTTAACTTTTCTAAAGTCTAAAATCCGAACTTGTGGAATTTTATGTGCCACATAAAGTCGATAATGCTCTTTGGATGCAACTGGGTTATGCAAAAGACTTAACATTTTCAACTTAGGAAGTGAAGCAAGAGGATCTAAATCTCCAAGCTCTTGAATTTGGTTACCTGTTAGTATTAAAGATTCAAGATTTGGTAGACATTGTTCTAAGTTATCTGATATACGTCTGAAAAAAATATTTAATTAAATTTAAGCTATTTTTTTAGTTATAAAATGGTCTATAATAATTAAAAATGTTGCACAAATTACTAGTTATTTGAACTGGTGAAATAACCAGTTAAGAAAAAAAAATTTCAGAATACCAAATATTCAATGTATAAAAACTAATTTAATAATTTTTATACAAATTAAAAACATATATATTAACTTAAAATAAACACACATAAGATATATTAGTTTCTAGAATAATTAATTTAAAATCAGTGCTGTTTAGTGATTTAATTATTTTTTTATACAAGAGAATCAAATTTAATTAGCACAAACCAATGCATTCAGTTTAAAGGGAGAAAATACTGGTTTTTATTAGGTGTTACAATTACAATATCAAACATATAATTTGAAATCTAGATAAGTACAATTAAATTATTTTAACTATATTTTAAATGAATAAACTTTGAATACTTACACAATAGCATTATTATTAAATATGATATTTTTCAATCTTTTAAGGTATGCAAAACCATCAATTTTCCTGATATCATTGTCTGAAAAGTCAATAGTATCAAATTGATCAAGTGTCGCACCCATGTTTTCTATTAGAGGTATTTTATAACCTAAAACATTTTATATTTAAAAGAAACATACAATTAGATACATTAATGTATATGAAATATAAGAATTGTTGAAATGTGTTAACTATCAGTTACATTGTACTTAGTCGCTTACCTCTCAAATCCAATTCTCTATCTTTCACTGGGTTTATGAATTGGTATGAATTCATGATTAACTCTGTTGTGAGTTTGACCATGATTCTAGATGAAAATTAATTGTCTAGCAGAATCAAACTTTAATTAAATTTCGGATTAAAAGAACTTGTCAATATTTAGTATTTGACATTTGTTATTATGTTAACAAATAACATATTAACATATTTTATATAATAATAAAATAAACCAACACGACGCTCCAGACGCAGTGTTTCACTTTAATTTTTAAACGCTATCATGGTAGTAACTACTACCACTACAACGCTTGTAGCGGTTATTTAAGCTAAGCAAACAACAAACCATGATATAATGAGGTAAGATGCTAAAACTATAATAACACGACCGTGGTTCATAAACTATCGTCATATATTTCTGGGAGATTGTAAAATCGTAATCAGTTTTCATAAAACAGTAAAACACAAAGTTAATATTTTAGTACTTTACTTGCCGCATTCGCCGTGTTTTTTTCATAACCAGGATTTGCTTATTTCAATTTCTAATCGTTTTATGTTTCGTCCGGTGTCGTAAAATCATATCTTTAGAAGTTCAGCATAGTATATAAACACAAAACTCGTCTAATGGAATTTTAATCTCAATAGTAATCTTTTCGTGTGCGATTAATACTCGCACAGAGATATTCTTGTTTTGTCGGTTTTATTGGCGTAACAATCCACTACAAAACCATGGCTAACGTGTCGTACCAAATCGCTCATTTGCTCGAAAAAGTGAGTGAAATTATTTAATATATTTTTTTTTTGGCTTTAAATAGTTACTCGAGAGCGGTTGTTGAACAAGTTGTGTGTTGTTTTAGATGACTTCGAGTGATAAAGATTTCCGGTTTATGGCTACTAACGATTTGATGTCAGAGTTGCAGAAAGACAGCATTAAACTTGATGATGATTCTGAACGCAAAGTAGTAAGAATGTTGCTAAAGTTGTTGGAAGACAAAAATGGCGAAGTTCAAAATCT